ACTTTTTTTCAATAATCATTTAGTAAAATCAAATAACATATCAAGACTTTCGTAAACCATTCTCAAGAACAAGGGAATCATTGCTTTAAAAAGTAACCTAAGTCAAGACCCACTTCCAGAACAAACTATGGTACCTCACGGTGGGAAATAGTCTCTTCCAATCTAAAAAAAAGTACATTTAAAACCTTTTATTAAAAAGTACAAATGCCATTTATTGTTACATGGTCAATAAGCGAATAATAATCMAATATCATTTTTCTGTCATTTTCGTTTTCAACTATATCACAAATTTAATGATATGAATATTTTGCATCCTTAATTATTTGTGTTGCATGCTTTTAAGTGCGAAAATAGAAATGTGCACAGTGATGCAGTATGAGATGATTTCTTTAGATTTACTTAAATCGTAAAATTTCCTTATTTGTATCTTGATGATTATATGACGTCATACTATCGTATGTGTTGTCATACTGAGACGKTTGTRCGCCCTCTCTTCCTCYTCCCACTCACCCACCGTTGATATGACGTTGAAATGAGAAACRATTTGAGCTAGAGTGATGGAAACAACAGCGTTCAATAACATATAGTCATAATATATAAAATATAAAATACTTTAACTAGAAATATCAAGATAAAAGAGTAGTAATTAATGAGCGCTCGTGTAGTATCATATATGCATAACAAATGTCCATATGGATGGTTTAGATATGTAGACAGATATAAAATAACTGCAATGTATATTATGAGGGTATTTCGATTCTTATGATTATMGAAATAACGAGGATAATAATCGGAATGGCCAACAATAAACATCGCTTTCCAATAAATTTAAGCGTAACTTCATTGTCGCATTCTTTTTCTTCTTTCGCTTCCTGATCAAGCAAGCATTGTTTGGCTTCTTTCTCGACGTCATAACGTCCTTGCCGAGTTTCATCTTCATTTATATCATGATCTTCGTTCGTTTTTACAGGACCATATCTAGGTGAATCTTCCCCATCTTTCTTCTTTAGTGGTGTGCTCTGTTGTCTTTCTTCACATAAGGTATCAAAGTCTACTTTCCAGTAAAAAAGCACTGAAAACATCRCAAACTGAACCAAAAACCCGACAGTCAAACCACACCATAAAAACGAAATGTCGTTCCATCGTATTGCTAGCGTTATTCCAAGCGGGAGACCAATGACGTAACTGGAAATGCTGTAAATAGCGGTCGAATGGAATTGCAAGCGGAACGGTAGACTGATTATGAAGAATACTGTTGTGACAGATTCAAGGATGTAAGACAAAGCAGCAAACGGTGTGACGTTACCGATGAGGAGTTGAACCGCTACATCGTGGGTGAAAATTGCGCCGATATAGTCTTTGACGCCAACTAAACATGCGGCAACTGCAAGAGTAACAACAAAGTCGAACAAAGTACCAACTATGAATGTCTTTCTTGCTTCATCCGCGTTGCCTTCGCCCAAGGATTTGGAAATGTTAACATTCATTGGCTGACCAACAGCAAATGCAAGTGTTAGAATTGCTTTCGTAATGGTAAACAATGCCGTCTGTGCAGCCACCTCCACTTCACCAATTGTACCAATGGCAATGAGGGCTACTTCGTGTATGCTGGACTTCAGCACGAAATTGAAGGCTCCAGGTAGTGCCAAGAGCAGATAGCTTCCCCAGTCCACGAAGCACATTTTAGTAAAACCTGGCCATGTTTTCTTGTATACACCACTTACCAATATAAATCCCAACAACATTACCACCATTAGACCATAGGAAAGGTCACTGGCAATTGCAATTCCGGTAATTTTAAGATGGAAGACGTACATAAAGAGAAAGTTAAATGGAACCAAAAGCAACACTCCGATTAGTGCAGCTACAAACAGTGGACGAACTTCTTTTTGAACTATCAAATATGCCCTCAACAGTCTGAAGAAAAATATTCCAAGCATTGATGGTATGAACATYATAAGATACAAATCTGTCTTATCAGCAACGCTTGAGGGGATTCCAATACGTTTCAAAATCCCACCGATGTGAATCCAAATTGACGTCACCAAAACACAAAGGAACCCCGCAAAAAGGAAMGCCTTTTGYAAAAGGACACCYACAGCCTGGTGCTGACCTGATCCATACGCTTTGGCGGCCATTGTTTCAAATGAGACAGCTAATCCACTTCCTAGTCCAGTAGCYGTGACAGTGAGCAAACCATACGCGATTCCAACAGCCCCCATGGMAGCCGTTCCGATCCTTCCAGCAAATGCGACATTTATAGGGCCAACGAATCGGAGAGTAAAGAGAGAAAGAAATAATGGCAAAAATAAGTGGAAGAATGACTTGAACGTCGATGTGGGGAATTTTTGAAGCCATGATGTAAGGTAATCTTTACAAGAGGAACCCATTGCAGTCGTCTATGGATTTTAGATTAAATTTGAGGAGAGGTTGTACATCTGYAGATGAAATTATGAGAAGAAGACATATTAAATAAACAATCAATAAAATAGGCCTACTCCCCAATATAACTCCCCAAGTGACCACAACCAATACTCCTCCAATATTCCTTAAGTCGCCTTAATAAAACGCCTTTAGACGCAAATGTTCCCACCCAACTAACGGCAAGTGAAATTTTGTCTTGTTTTAACTCGCTCGCTTCGCATCAAAAATGCCTGTATAGTTGTGAATTTCTTACACATGTAATAGTTAAACCATTTACACTACTAATTTTGTATTCGAGACTTAAATCTGATTGCTAGATGACCAACACCGACCGATATTCAAACAGTGATCTCTTTCTGCTCGCGCAAAAATCCATCGGTATTTTCAAATTTAAAAGCCTTAATAAACACATTATTAGCATTTTATGTTTGAAGAATTACACAAATCCGTCGACTGAGCCCGTCACTACAAAGACCATTCGAAAACACACTTAAAAACATTGTAAGTAAAACATTAAAGTATAAGAATTTATATCGGATTACTGTCAGAGGAATTATAGTTCAATTCGCACTTCTTTTGCTGCAGGAATTTCAAAGTGCCAGATATTAAGAAAGCAATGTATTCTCACTTTAGGTATAGCACTGGAATATTGCAAAAACATAATAATAATTAGATGTTAATTTGCACCTATAAAACGCTTGAAATTATGAAAACTATTGTGTTCTCCAAAGAGGTTTTATCCTATCCTATGACTTTTGCGCGCACAGAAAGGCAAACAATATTTAGATCACTGTTTGAATATTTTATTGGTGTTGGTCATCGCGCCATCAGATTGAAGTCTCGAATACGCCATCAGAAAGGTTGATAATTCAACTATTACATATATGTAAAAATCACAACTATACGGGCATTTTTAATTCGGAGCGAACGAGTAAACCGCGCTTAAGGTCCTGTTCACACTACGACATAAGCATGTTGAACAAAAGAAAAGACAATGGAATGAGGTCAAGCGTGCATCGATATAAGCATAGCGAGAAAATTAAGCCAGAGCATAAGCTAATCAAAGAAAAAGGAATAAACAGAGAAAAACCTTCCTTTTTGTCTTCTTAATCCTTAAACTCTTTGTTTATGGAGCTTGTTCTTATGTTGTAGTGCGAACTGGTCAACCTTAAGTGGCTTGCACAATTCCTCCCGACCCCGTTGTTTGACACGCTTGGAAAGTTTGACAATTGAAAATCAATTTTCTATATACTAGTAAAAGCTGGTTTGAGGAAAAAAAGCACCCATAATATTTCTAAAAGTTTGCAATTTTTCCGCAAAAAATATGGATGGATTTCGGAATGCGCGACATCATAAACATCATAAAAAATAAACACACGTATAATCACACATTCAATAACAATAATTTATGATGAAATGAGCTAAAATGTATTCAAATGGCGGTAGTAGGATTTTGTTATATTCCCGCCACTTTTGATTTTGGGGAGTAAAGATTTGTTTTCGATTCAGCCACTTTTAATTTATCTTTTAACTAATGAGCTAGAAACTGTATTGAAATGACGGTGGTAAGGATTTGCTTATTTTCCCGCCACTTATAATTTATCGTAGTAAGGGTCTGGGTTGCATTCCCGCCACTTTTGATTTGAGTAAAGATTTGGGTTTATTTCAGCAACTTTTAATTCATGGTTTGATGAGCTAAAATGTATTGAAATGCCGTTAGTAAGGATTTGATTATATTCCCGCCACTTTTAGTAATTTATGGTAGTAAGATTTGGTTACATTCCCGCCACTTTTAATACCTTTTCTACTTCCAATATACAGAGAATCCTCGAAGGTGCTATTTTTACGTTTGAAATTGATGATTGTTTCAGAATAGGAAATTAACTGGAATTATTTGACATCGATTGCACAGTGTATCCTTGTTATTTTACGAGACAATTCCTACCCCAACAAAGTGGTGCCAAAACCGTCCCCTCAACTATTCCATCCGAATGCTAAATTTTGGMTACAATGATAAACATATTCAATAGAAAAGTTGTGGAAAGATATATGCAGAATCTATCAAATTAATCACGTTGCGGATATAAATACATTCCACAGCAAATTCTATACACGAATTAGAAGCATAGAACTATGTTAGAAGTTATTCTCAGTTGAATGTACTTACTTTGGCATCTGTCTCCATTGACAAACCATTATAACATTTCAATCTTACGATATTGTAATAAAGTCGCGAATAAARTTGAACATCACGCAAACTGTAAATRTTAAAGCATTTCGGAGGCTTTAACTGTCCGAGGCCGAGAGCTTTATGACTTGGATTAAGAATATGTACGACGCGTCTTTCAGTGAAATCATAAACGCGTAAAAAACGACTCATAAACATTACACCAAATTGCAAAAGAAGCAAAGCTAACCACATCACGCGAAAGAGAAACCCGTGGAAAAGAAACGTTTCAACAAGATATATATATAATCATAATGAAATATTAAATTTCATCTAAAGAGATTAAGTTAGATTTCATATTATATATRTTATGCAAACGTATATGAAATTGTGATTAATAACAAGCGCGTTAGTGCGTAGCAAGTCTTTTGTAGTTTTCAAAGCGCTTTGAGCGCGTCGCTGTTTAACTATTGTTATACGGTGTATATCTTGAGTAATTTGTGTTCCCTAGCAAAGAGAAGCTAGTAGAAGAGTCACTCATTGACTAGATACGTTGTAATATCTATACTATAAACATCCATATATATAGTTTATTTCATGGAAAGTGCGACGTACGGGATTTTATTCACGAGTTGTTTGCAATCATACTGAACGAACGAGCGAGGAACGAGCGAGTGAGTTTATGATGCAAACAACGAGTGAATAAAATACCGTACAAAGCACTTTCCATGCTATAAGCTGTTTATTATATATATAACGAGACTTTCATTCGGCATACTTTTTAATAAGCTTGTTCTGACCATTATGAGAAACAAACTCAATATGAGCTTATGCATAGATAGAAATGCACAGATAATTGAACTTAATAAACTTGATAAAACTTAAAAGGCTTACAAAACAAAGCAACTAAATTAATAGTCGTACTTTCCACTGAAGCTACAAGAAAGTACAAGTTTTAGTGAGATTTTATAGTAAGTAGAGGAACAAATAACAGCTTCGTCGAGAAAACTACTTCTCTTGGTCGGCCTGTAAGATAACGTGCTGCAATTTCCCTCTTCGTTTGAGCTGATTTAGCTTCCTACCGGTACATCTCTTGTCTTACTGAACGAGTCCTGTCTTTCTAAATTGCTTGGAGATTAGTTTTAATTTTGCATAAAGCGATCAAAACTTGGTATAAAACGACCTGAACTCAGTGAACAAGTACAAGACAAATCAGTCAGTCTCTTCGTTTAAGTTTAACGTTTTGGCTGATGTTTTCCATGCTTTCATGTTCATTCTGGATGGCAAAAAACTTTATTCTCTTGAAGAAAAACATTTTTCTTACTTTGCTATAGTTATGTTTGCCTTCCTGTCCACTGATAAACTCTTCAAATGAGGTATTTTGATCAACAAACACAGTTCACATTCAGCCATTGGCCATTCCGAAATTCAAAAGGGGACTGGGAACGAGCGTGAAAATATTACATTCGGAGTCGTAAACTGAACCTCACCACATGAAAGACCACACTAAAATAAGTGTTCTTGTCAAGTTTGAGCATATTTGGCTGAATACTCACCGAGTAGGAATTTTTTTCAAATTTGTAAAAATGAGAGAGAATGTAGTGGTTTTTGGGGACGCTGCTCAAAACCTCCATACATTCTTTGTAATTTTTTCGAGTTTTCAACACTTGAAACTGTGTAATTATTAATCCGAATACTCTCAAACTCAGCAGCTTTACTAATTTTAGTATGCTCTTTCTTGTCCTGGTGTCTGTGTTTTGATTGCTTCAAACGGTATCGAGTTTGGGACTAGTCACCAGTCCCTTTTTGAATTTCTTCGGAACGGGCAATTTTGCCATCAACGCGCGATATGTGATTACAGTTTTTCTGTGTTATGATTGGCTCTACAACCCCAAACGGAAGAAAGGCCGAAGCCCAAAACTACAGAACGACAAGAACGAGGGTCCGTTCTTGGTGTTGAAGCGCTTAGATGACATAACCTATCGCATCCATAAGGGAGTAAAAAACAATGCAAGCCGATGGTAGTCCGATGGTAGTCCGATGGTAGTCCGATGGCAGTCCATTACAACCGTCTAAAGTTTTACGAGGGTGAAAACGTTCCCGACCAGTTGACAAAACAAATCACCGACACCGAGAAAGACGCTGAGAGAATCGAGACAGAAAAGCGGGAAGAACAGATCCTGTTACCTAGCAACGAGCCAACACTTGAGAAAAGTGCCAAAAGGACTAATATATAGCTAGTGAACTATGTACAATTTTTTTTTAGGAATTGGCTAAGATAAATTATAAGATACGGTGGAGTGGAGAGAGTTACACAGAGTCAGGACGAGCCGGCGGGGTCTGTTCTCCTAACTGTTCTTTTACGAATTTTTTTTTCTGGAAAGGATTTTTGAGCTACATTGTTGACAATCTCACATTCCTGGCAAACGTTTTTAAGGTAAAAAAACGACTGTTTTTATTGTTTTCTTTAATTGAGCTGTCTGAACCAGTTGTGACTTATAGCTGGCTGGGATATATTTCTCCCAGAAACCCTTTGGCCTTTCCTAAGGAGTAGCTCAGTAAAATGATGGAACGTATATCTATAATGATTTCCATTTTGGCAGAACTGACCGGCCAGTCCGCTCTATTTAGAGGTATATAATGYTTTTTKTCRACATTTATCAGTCATTTCGAGGTTTTCTATAGAATAATGGATAGAATAGTCTCCTTCACGGTTACCTGCGCCATCTTGAAAGGTAGCCGTGCCTTTACATCGAAGCGAGACAACCGTTGAGCGTGCAATGATAGAAACCTGTGAATAATTGTCTGTAGGTGTGAAAGAAGGTTTCTATCATTGCACGCTCAACGGTTGTCTCGCTTCGATGCAAAGGAACGGCTACCTTTCAAGATGGCGCAGGTAACCGTGAAGGAGACTATTTGAAAGTTTGAGTTTCCTAACTAAATAGGAATGATCTATAATGACATTTTCTCTGGGTCTGGCCAAGTTCTGACAAATGGAAAGCGCCCTTAGTGTCACCCGGAACGGGACTATAAATCTCAGTATTTATACATCTAAGGCATCTTATCGGTCACATATATTGAAAATATTCTATTTGTTGAAACTGATGGGTTGTTAATAAGGTAGAACTCAAAAAAAGATATTTGGAATAATAGAGTCATTTTCATCCGTCTGTGAAACAATTACTACTAGTCAGTGTTTAATAGTAACTATTAGGGTGTATCACCAAAAGCCAAAAGCAAAACCGTTTTTGCCTAATTTTATTGTTGTCGCATGTCATAAGTTAAACTATATTGTGAGATAATAGGGGGTAATAGTATTTAATAATACAATTTTTATTTCACAGACGGATGAAAATGACTCTAACAATAATAATATAAATAATAATAAATAGATGAAGCGAAATATAATGCTGTATCTGTAACTCGTCCTTTTGTGTTTCGATTCTGCTTTTCCGACTTGGGAAATGCCGAATCGCGACTGAGTACCCAATCCCTCGTTGAACTGCTTTTGTATTCGTTATGTTTTATTTTCAAGGTAATTAAAAAAAACTGAATGTAAAAATCATCCCGCGATGATATAATATAATGCGTAAAGTCTATCAAATTTGTACGCACATTGAATTAAAGCAGTCCGAAAAAAAACCCGCAATATGTATCTTATTCGAGAAAATTTCAGACTTAAGGGMATTCCCGACAGCAAAAATTCAGTTCATGTATCCCTGCAATGACAATGCAAGCGGTATAATTTGTTTATCAAAAATTACGCTCAAACAGCACACAATTTTAGCTTTGTGGATTGCGTAAATGAATTTCTTAAACATTATATTGAATACGGGCTTTCCCTTACATGTAAACTTCTGTGGTACTGTGCAAATTTCTCATCAACTTGTCCAACCCAGGTTACTTGAAGAATACACCTTCGAATTACCAATGCACTGCTTTCTTGTGTGTTAGAGTCATTTTTGTGGAATATTTCTAATTGTTATAGTAAAAGTGTGAAATTTCAAATCAACTTTATCGTTTTTCTTTACAAATAGCCGACTTTAGATATTTTGGTTCAGTGACCATGCACAAAAGAATTGCAGGCTCCGGGGAAATAAAGAATAAAACGATATTATACGCTCTTTGATTGGTCATTTTGAAGCGTGCACTTCAAAATAACTCTTTGCAATATTAAAAAAAAAAAAATTATCAATGGATAATCTNTATCGTTCAACGAAACCTCAAGTTACAAAGACACAGAGCATTAAATTAGCAAAAAACCTGTTTACTATGGAAACTGCTGCAGTGGCAACTGATGTCAAAGAATTTGATAGCTACGAGGATCGACTATTTTTACTCAAGGGAACTTTAAAAAACTTGACCTGTGACAGTGTGAGCTTTGAAAACGAGCAATACTTTATTTTGAAAGTAACTAATTCAGTTGCCTCAAAGAATCAAGATCTTTTCAGTATCGCTGCGGATCTTTTACAGCATATAAGATCCACATCAGAAATCCAGTGCCCGGTTCCACAGCCTTCCATATTTGGCACCAAAAATGTCCTATGCAAGTTCGGAGAAACTGGAAATGTTTCAGGTGAAATTGATGTACTTTMTTCTMAATACGACGGCAAAGAGATCAAGGATGGAATGGAAGCTGTTTCAATCGAAGAAGATGTCTGTGCCGTTCAGCTAATGAGTTTTGTACCAGGAAAAAYTCTGTGTGAGGCAACGGTGGAATGGGGAAACGATTTGCTTGTGGACTTTGGCGCAAAGATTGCAYATTTGCATATAATACTTCAGGTAAGTTGGCGAGTCCAAAAATGATTTGGCGACGACGACTCGAGCTTTAGTTTCCACGGACCATTGAATGTTTCTGTTATTAGATCACTGCCGTCTATGCATATAGTTAAATAAAGGCTGTCAGAGAGATTACAGCCGAAAGGTGCTTCCGCTAGTCTTAGTATAATTGATTGTAATATTCAACCACGTGCACCAAAGGCTGATTATATTGTTGTTTCCATTAAAGTAAAAAATCTAAGAATTTAAGTTATCGTTCCTCGGATGAGTGAACCCGAGTGGATTTAGAACATATAGCAAACAGTCGGGGTCTGAAAGTGAATATTTACATGCCAATTATTCTGAATTCGTGTCTTATTTTTCCCCATTATTCATTGTATATATTTTTTCTATTATTCATTATTCTTTACGATTTTTTTTTCATTATTCCTTTTTGATTTTTTTCATTATTTATTATCCTTAGGAGTTTTATTTAGCTATTCATTATTCCCAGTCAATTTTTAACCGTAATTATTCATTATTCAATATTCACCTTCAGACTCCGACCGAGTCGATCTTATTTTCCTTAAGGCCGAATAAGACGACACGATGTTTGCCTACAACCATCGCGCGCAATATGCGACCCTTGTAATTCATCCATGCGCAACATGGCTACAACTGTCGTGGGGCTATAAAGCAATTGTTTTAAATCGCTACGACAATGATATCCATGTTGTAAGAATGACTTGAAGCAGGTTGTATGCCGTCTACCTCGGCCTTAATAATGCTTTATTAATYAATTAATATTCTTTTCATGTTTAAAGGAATATAGTAAAACCAACGCATGGGTTTCAGAGGTCCAGCTGCAACAACCAAACCATCAATTAACCCTAATGAAAACCCACAATACTTTGCAGCTCTATAGCTATGCACTTAACAATAAACAACAGCAAATCCAAGTGGAAGAGATAGCCAGACGTTATAAAACAGAGGTCCAGGAAAAAATTCATTCAACAAGTTTCGAACTTCAACTCATTCATGGTGATTTGACGGGTCGAAATGCAATTGTCGGAACAAACTCCTTGGGGCAAATTGAAATCAAAGGTTTCATAGAYTTCAATGATATGCAATATTCCTATAGGGTATTAGATGTAGGGGTAGCTCTTGGCAGCCTTATGGTAGAAGCTTGGAAAAGGAATTTGGATGTTATTCAGGCCTGTAATCAGGTGATAAAAGGCTACCAATCGGTATTCCCGTTGACAGACTTCGAGGTTGATAAGTTGTTCATTGTAGCACAAGCCCGCATATGTCAATCACTTGTACTTGGAGCCTACTGGAATGAGATTGCGCCTGACAATTCCTACGTGGCTTCCACAGAGAAAGGAAGTTGGCARGTTTTGGAAAGACTTCGGTTATTATCCGAGTGTAAAATCTTGAACCAGTGGAAAGCCTTGTAGTTTCCATCTGGAGATTAACCTGAAAGTCAATGATTCCCCATCCCTCAACTAAATCTCATAAGAGTCCTAGTCAAGCGTTTCAACTGAAAAAATCTCATATATGACTTTTTGTAGATAATTATGGGTTGTTTGACAATTGTTAGATGGTAATAACAATCCCTTTGTCCCCTTTCGCTTATGACTTAMAGGTTAGTGCTGTAAAAAAACACAACAACAAATGTTCCTGTTCACGTGACTGATCCTTTTAGTTCACAGTGTTCAATGGAAACATTTTATTATCTTACAAAACATCGTTCGTTATCATCTAAAGAATGTACTGAGAAAGTATTTTCATACATTTTAATTTAATTTAATTTTTTATTTAAAATTCAATTTCAGAAATACTACCTACTTTTATTATTGTATGATTGGACGAGAACTTTAATAATCATATCAGTTTTGATTGGGCATACATTAAAATTAATTGACTACACCTAATTGTAAAAACGTTGTCATGTTCAATGGGTGAAATCATTGRAGCTAAGACCGAATGGGATTTTGGGTATTCGAAATTTTACATCATATTTTCCTAAASATGGAGTTTAATTCATCAACTCATTTCACAAAAAAGGCGATGGCAATTTTAATTGTATTTAACATATCAGAAATTTGTGAAATAAGATAAATATTATACCGTGAAAAGTATGTGAAATTATGACTTTAATATACTGACGTTTGTCTTTTATAGTTAGCAAACAGGGACCGATCCAGCATTTTATAAGTGGAGGTACTTTTGTCGTTAATAATATATACCTAAAAACTAAGTGTAGCAGATGGCACTTATCATTTTTGTTAGCTTGGTATCTAGAAAAAGAAAAATATGCACAATTTGACCGAAAGGAAAATTGACTTTTATTGCAACGGTATCTTTGACTACACTACTCAACTAGATTGTTAAGCTGCATAGTGGCAGACACGTGTTGTGTATTGATACTAACGTTGTTTTATCAAGAAGAGTATGAACAGCACAAAAACGTTAATAYTGATATATAAAAAAGATATGTCGTTCGAAAAGGGGGCCTGCGTCCGCACCCAAAGCACCTCCCCTGGATCCGCCACTGCGAG